GTCAAGTTCTTCTGGAATTGCAAGGGCATCTATTGCCTCTGGCACACTTCCAAATGCAGTTGTATAAATAGAACTGTGCTGGACTTGCTACATAGCGAGGAAGTTATTTATGCTTCCATTTTTTTTGGCATGACCCAGAGAGAGATTCCACGCATACACAGGAATGCTGCYTTGGTAAGGCTGAGAACCCAGGGTTTTGCATTTCCTTCTTTTTCTATGTCATCTGCTGAACACATACACAGAACTTACACATTTCATATCMTATATTCCCATCTGCTGAACACAGAGATTACACAGTGAGCCATTTACTTTTCCATGGAAAGCTGAATTTTGAGTGAACCTTTGCAAGCTAAAAAATGTCACTACAAAAACATTTGTAATTAATCCACTTAGAAAAGCAGCACATGCAGTTCCTTGATGTCAATCCTTTTTTTTTTTCTATACTCACTTCTTTCTCACTGCATGACAGTTTTCTACCTTGTTACTTAGAGGTAGCACATCATGAGAGTGGTTGTTTATGTCACATGGGATAGAGAACCTGGAGGCTGGGCAATAAAGGACAAAGGGGCACACGTCACRGAGCCCACAGTAGCTGTGACACATGATTCAAAAATAAAGTGGACACAGTTGGCTTTCAAACACGACATTCAACAATTTTTCCTTGAAAAAAACAATTTTGTCAAAGAAAAAATACAGAAAGTGGTTTCAACTGAAAACACACTGGGTTGATTAAAGCGTTCCGGTAACCCCACTGAACACWGCCAGCAGACTTGAGGGAAGTGATCCTTCTTTTCTGCTCAGAACTGGAGACACGTCTGGAGCACTGTATCCAGGGATGGACTTCCCAGTACAAGGGAGACATGGAGAGAGACTTTAGCAAAGGGCCATGAAGATGGTGAGGCACCTGATGTATGAGAAAAGACTGTTCAGCCTGGAAAAGACTTAGAAGGGTCTATGTATGTAGATGCATATATCCCACCTGATGGGTGGGAATGAACGAGACAGAGCCAGACCCTTCTCAGTGGTGCCCAACAACAAGATAAGAGGAAATGGGAACAAACTCAAATGCAGGGAACACATTCAAACCTAAGAAACCCCTTTTTTACTGAAGATAGTCAAGTACTGGAACTATTTACCCAGGGAGGCTGGAGGGGCTAGAGCAACCACTTACACTAAAGTACTGTTTTAATAAAAATTTGGCCTAAAATAATTTGACAATTTGATAAACTAAAGGTGACTCACTGTTAGCCCAGAAGTCCTTAGATTTTTTCGATCTCCTTTATACTGCAAAGGGATGGAAAATCATAATAACATACAGCTCCACAGAGCCATCTCTTGCCCAGAGGTTCTTTGGTAAGCAGAAAGGTAATGGAGAGAGTTGTAGCCTTAAGAGTCACACCAAACACCTACATCAAGGTCCCTCAAACCAGTAAGATTTGTATTTATACATCTGTATTTGGCTGAAGTTCTTCAACATTCATGTGCCTATACACCTATAAAATGCTGGCTCTTCACAGTATCTGGCACTAAATGTTGAATTGCCTTTCTCCTCAGTTTCAGGCAAATGACCCAGGCAAGTCACTTATCTCATTCAAAGTCTGCTTGAAAACTAGAAATGCCTGAAAAAAGAACTACTTAGTCTGGTATTCTCACATTTAGGAACTTGTTCAAGGTGATTTACCTTAATTGTATTGTCAAGGCCAGATGCATGTCGACTCTGAAAAAGATTGTGGCTAAAAGTCGTGAATGACCCAAACTCTTCAGAACATTTTCTCAGCATCATCCTCAAGCACAAATACAGGCTGTGGGGAGAACGGATTGAGGATTGATCAGCAGCCCTGAGGAGAAGGACTTGGGGACACTTGGGTAATGAGAACTCAACACAACCCAGCCATGTGCACTCACAGCYCAGAAAGCCAAACRTGTCCTGGGCTGCATCCAAAGCAGCGTGGGCACCAGGTCAAAGGAGGGGACTCTGCTCCTGTGCTCTGTGCTCTGCTGAGACCCCACCTGCAGAGCTGCATCCAGATCTYGGGTCCCCAGTACAGGTAGGACATGGAGATGTTGGAGAGAGTCCAGAGGACCACAAAGATGATCAAGGGCCTGAATCACCTTTCCTATGCAGACAGACTGAGAGAGCTGTTGAGCCTGGAGGAGAGAAGGCTCTGAGAAGACCTTCTGGTAACCTTCCAGCACCTAAAGGGGTCTGCGGAAGAGCTGGAGAGGAATTTTTTACAAAGGCATGTAGTGACAGGGCAAGGGGGGATGGATCTAAGGTAAAAGAATGATCTAGTGGAAGGTGTCCCTGCCCTTGGCATGGGGGAGTTGGAACTAGATGATCTTTAAGGTCCCTTCCAACCCAAACCATTCCATGATACCTCCTATCTGAAAACTGCTAGGATCGCTTTGAACTGTTGCTAAACCACTTCTGGTTCAGACAGTGAAGCCCACATCTCTGGTTTTTCCATTGCTGAGATGAGCCCATAGATACCATTTGCTCATGGTATTGCTCAGTTCTGGGAGTTACAAATGGTGAAGGATGAGAATCTTCCATACTGAATTATCAAGTATTCATGGTATTTAAAAATAGATCTCCCATGTTCTTCTCCAGCCATTGCTTGCATGTCTCAGCCAGGCTTATGAACACTCACAGACCATGTGCAATGGTGATAATAAAACAGCACCTGTTGCAAGGTGGGCAACCACTGGATGGGTGGAGACCTATCCTGTGCCCCACGCCACTGCCCGTAGCAGCATCCAGGCCTTGAAAAACAGGTCCTTTGGAGGCATGGTACCCCAGAGAGAATTGAGYCTGACAACGGGACTCATTTCAAGAACAGCCTCATTAACACCTGGGCTAGGGAACATGGCATTGAATGGGTGTACCATATCCCTTACCATGCACCTGCTGCTGGCAAAGTGGAACGGTGCAACGGACTCCTGAAAACCACCTTGAAGGCACTGGGTGGGGGTACTTTCAAAAACTGGGAGAAGCACTTGGCAAAGGCCACATGGATGGTAAACACCCGAGGCTCCACCAACAGAGCAGGCCCTGCCCAGTCTGAACCCCTGCATACAGTAGATGGAGATAGGGTCCCAGCAGTACATCTCAGAGGTCTGTTAGGAAAGAATGTCTGGATTAATTCTGCCTCAAGCAAAGACAAACCCATCAGTGGTGTTGCCTTTGCTCAGGGTCTAGGTTGCRCATGGTGGGTAATGCAGGAGGACAGAGAAACTCATTGTGTACCTCAGGGGGATTTGATTTTGAGTGAAAAGAGCTTGTAATGGTGGGTTGCCTATAATTACTGCTTGCTGAATGTCACTGCCACTATTTTGTATATATGTACATATATATATATAATGTATACATGTGTGTCTTTAGAGTTAGAATGTATTAGTATGGACATGAAGCCGACAGATATGGAATAAGGGGTGGAATGTCTTGGGTTGATTTTGTGCCAATCCTGGATTTCTATATTCCATCAGCTTGTATGCCCAAAAGTTGCCTGTGCCTTTGAATCTGACCCAGAAGAAGGGGCAGGTGCAGCGCGGGCAGTTTAAAAGCCCGGGATGCCATGCAGCCGTTTGCTTTYGAGCTCAGCTCAGTGCTGAGGGAGTTTCTGCTCGCTGAATGCAGGGGAGTTACATGTTGCCATTTAGCTAGCTTGGGTTTGTTAGCTTGGGCAAACAGCTTTACTTGAACTGCCATCCCCCTCTGCAGCTACTGTGATTTTTTTTCTTCTGKAGCAATTYAGCGGCCGGTGGGGACAAGCGGCGCCGCTCCATCTTGTCCTGGACTCCGGAAGAAGCCAAGCCGGCGACAGAAAAGCACACCAAGCCCTCTGTTTCATCCACAGTRAGGAAAGGACTATAATCCAGTTTTCCACTGTTGCTGGAGCGGCCACGTGGACTTTTTTTTTCTCTCTTGTTTCTTTTTCTGGGGACAGGAGCCGCCATGCACCATGTGACCGAGCGGTTCTGGAGGGAGGGATAGGCATGCTTTCCTGGACTTTTAAATATCTAACAGTTACTTTTTATCTGTATYCTATGGGCACGGTGTTTTGTTAAAAAACTACTTTTTTTTTTCTCTTCACTTTTGCCTGAGCATTTATTTCATATTGGTGGGAAAAAATTATCAAATTTTTCACTTCAGAGGAAACATTTACTCTGTAATATTTTTCTCTGAAAACATKGTCTCAAACCGAGACACCCTGCAACATTGTCTACTGCTTCCAGGCTCCGGGAAGGGAAAGAGACGTGTATCAGCAACATGGCACATACTTTACTGCCTTCCTACAGGAAGTATTTTGAAGAAGAAACTGATTCTCTGAAGCCATTAAAATGACATTAAATGACAAATGGGGAATGCCTTGGAGGAGTTTGATTACTGATTTCACAAGCCCAAGAATTGTGGGCTCTTCAAGCTGGCTCAAGATTTTTTAGCAGGCGATGACACCATCACAACAACGCAGACACAGTCACGCCTCAGTCTCCTGAGGCTGGGCACAGCCGTGCTGTGGCTCCTGGCCTGCCACACTTGACCTAGAGGGAATTCTGCTCCGGGCAAGGCTCACAGCAGGGCTGGGGTGCCAGCAGGAACCTACACCTGCAGCTGGCCAGGCTCATCCCTCCAGGCACTGCTCCAAAAATCGCTTGGCCAAAATTAGGGGTCTGGGAATCCCTGCCCAAAATCGAGCTTCAGAAAATGCAATTATTGCCAACGTCCCAGTGGGACGGAGGTTCTCTTTAAAGTTCCTGCCCACAGGCACCAAGTAAGTCTCTTTGGACACAACACTGACCCAAACAAGTCACATATGTGGCTACATATCTCTTATGGTGCAGGATTTCTGTACTACACTGTTCTACCCCGGGTTTTTTTTTTTAATAGAAACTAAAATGTAAGCAGGAGGAACAAGCAAAACATCCCCCTTGCATATTACACTAGCTCAGGTCAGAAGAAAGATAAGGAGTGCTCAAAAAAAAGATTTTACATGGTCTTTATTTAAACAAAATGTGCAAGTGGAAGCAGAGGTTTCACATTCCTTTCTGCAAAGCAAGTTTGTGCCTCTTACATTGGATAATACAGGCTCTTACATTACATTRTGCAGTTTTACACCCTCGAGAATCTGACACTGATGCCAAACGAGCCGGYGTGGTGGGCTGGGGATACAGCACTCACAGAAGCTACCAGAGGAGACAGCCACATCAAACTGTTCCTAAACATCTTACATTTTACAGCTGGATCACTGCAGACTAAAATAATTACACCATCACAGACCCATTACAAACAGCACAGACAACAGATAGGAGAGTAAAAAAAAAGGCTGACAACATTCTCAATTGATTCAAAGCTCATCACTGTGGCATGCTGTGGGTGTTTCTCATGTCTGTGGAGGCACACATTGAAATCACCTCCAGAGTTTCTGAGAGTCTTTCAATCCTGGTAAGACTTCACAAGGAGCCACATGAGGATTACTGTAATCAGGACAATCATGAAGTTGAGGAAAATTTCTCGTGTGGAACGTTCCATTTTTTCAGAGAAATGAGGAAACAGCAGAGGTCAGCCGGCAGAGCAGAGGGAAAACTTCGGTGACCTGCTTGGATGCGCCCTTGATCTAGACCTTCAGATGACAGGCTCTTTTGGAAAAAAAAAAAAAAAAAAAGGGAAAAAATGTAAAGAACAGGTGCATGAAGGTGGCAGATTCAGTAGAGCTTTTTATGTTGGTCTAAATAAATGTTGTTTCAGTGGCCAGAAGTCAGAAAGCACTGGGGTGTTAAGAAGCAAGACCCTTCTYTGGCAGCTTATCACCTTCTTTGATTTCCAGCATTTGACAAGGAGCATTCCCAGTGTCACCCCAAAATACASTCCGCAGAGGTGAGCAGTCTGTGGAAATCAATGCTGCTTTCTGCAAGCATCTTCTAATAAATAATGCCCAAGCCCCCTTTAACACTTYCAACACATATACATTGTAAATATACTACCCTTAGGAGTTTTTAAATTCCTACATTTGTCTGTGTAATTTTTTTTAAGAAACTAATGCAAACTATTATTCTCTAGAGAAAGACTAATAAATTTGATTTATTGCCACTAAAAGTACAAGGAGAACCTAAGGTTACACATTTTCATTTCTGAAGAACTTCACATATTTCRTGAGTCATTCCTACAGATGAAATAGTATTTTCTCAAAAACCTTCTGCCTTTCCTGATAYTTCAAGGTGCTAAAAATCTCATATTTCAAAAATCCCATTCAAGCTGTACTCAAAAACTTTTTATGTTGGTTATTGGTTTTATTTACTTTATGACAGCAATTTTTGAATTTTATATGTTTTTCTAGTACATGCAGAGAAAAGAGAACACTTTATCATTAATATCCTRCACTCATCCCATCCGTACACCATGTAAATAAAATAAGAACCCTTTAACAAATGAGGCATAAACTCCAGACAAAGAATTTCAGCTACACAACCACATTAGGCTGCAACATCTCTGATGCAAATGAGAAACCTTGGGACCATACCAGCATGAAGACAGAGAGTTTCAWTTGAAACTGCTTTAGTTTGCAGATTAAATATTAAAAGCCCAGCACATGCAGTTTAACAAATTCCTACATTTTCAAGTTGCTTTGCCAGCCTCCTATGTCCTTGTACATGAGAAAATCTGACCTAATGAGTAAGCCAGTTCTTTTACCTTGAGGAGATAAATGGAGCCCAGTGGTTCTGCCTCTGGACTTTGGGTCACTGCAGATATTGTTCCCCTCCAGCTTCTGCCTATGTCCCACACGGTCTGGAAGCTCTGTCCCTGCGTGGGAACTAAAGTAGGCTGAGGGTGGAGACCAACAAGTGCGTTGGCAGCCCAGGTGCTGACATCACCCCCCCCAAATATTTTTAAAGGGCTAAGCTGGGCTGCAAATTTGGTTAAGGCTGTTTATGCAGTGGGCTCTGTGGGCAGATTTGCTTCTTTTGCCATGATGCTGTGCTAAGAGCAGAGTTGTGTGTATCCCCTGGGAGTTAACTGGATCTGACCATTTCATACAATCATAGAMTACAATCATGGGTTGGAAGSAACCTTAAAAATTATCTAGTTTCAAGTCCTCTGCTCTGAAYAGGGACACCTTCCACTGRACCAGGCTGTTCAGAGCCCCRTCCAACCCAGCCTTGARCACTTCTGGGAACTGAGGYACCCAACTCCTCTGAGCAAYCTGTTCCAGTGCTTCACCAACCTCACAGWAAAGAATTTCTTTCTAATRTCTAATCTAARCTTACTYTTTGAGCTGGAAGCCATTCCCCCATCTCCTGTCACTACATTCTTTCCTTTGGCCTGCTGGTGTCTTCCCCAATGTTGGGAAAGGGAAAGAAGGAACCACTTGAAGAGCTCTGTGTGCCGAACTAAGGAACTCAAAATAATTTCCAGGCTATAAAGTCTGTCTACATATCTACCTTTTTGAGCACAGTACAGCTGTTGTATATAGTCTATAGCCTGCATGGCTTCTCCAGTTCATCTATATTTAAAAGAAACTGAATAGGAACAAAATATACTTTACATTTCAATACAAGTAACTGAAAWCCAGGATCATTTGCTGGATAGAAAAGTTGCGAACTAGTTTGTGCCAAAAAGCACAAAACATTTCTTTAAATAACTGCTGACACTCTTGCATACTCTTCCCTCATTGTATTTCTGTGCTGGTGTGAATGCTTCACCTATCTGAGCATACACAGAAGTATTCCTGCCACCCTGCAGTGTTTCACCCCAGAAAGACACTGTTCTGTGGCCTAGAGAGCTCTAACCCCCACATCCCTTTATCTTTCCACAAGGCCTGCTAGAAGTTGCTACAAACATAAACAAGAAGAAATTACTATTTGCTTCCTGGGAACTGCCACAGCAGAGTGAGCTGGACTGCAGTGGGAGCAGGCTCTGCCATGGGTTCCCCCCTATTTGAAAAACACAAGTATTTCACTGAAGTCAGAGGGGTCACTCCTGCAACACAGAGGGGTGTGGGGATCCTGGTCAAACTGAAGTGTGTAAGGCTGTCCACGACGCTGGCCTTGTTCTCACTGCCAAACACGTGTGATCCATAGCACGCAGATTATTTATTGATTCTRAAGCCTTTGGGATATTTATATTCAGGCATGCTGGGACATACTGTAGCTCAGAGTATCCAAGCTTGTTTGTCACCGTCCCYCTCCCTGAGCTGCCAGGTTTCTCCCTTTGTGCCATGGCTGGCACTCACATCACCGGACGATGCCCTGGTGAGGGAGGCCAGCTGGCTGGAAACCTACCCAGGGGAAAACAACAAAACAAATAGCTGTGGGTAACCAGGGGGGTGGAGGGGAGCATTGCTTGGGTTTTGCTGGATGATCTCCCTAAATAGTCTTCCCATGGGATCAGTGGAGGTAGGAGGGGGATTAGAACAGTAGAAGCCTTCCTTATGATTGGTATGACTGCCTTGACACTGCCCTCCTACACAACCAGGCAGCACATTCAAAGAAGCCAGAGTGCTGCGTGGGAGTGTTGTGCTAAAATCCACAGATCAAACAGCAAAGGCTTTAACCCATGCCTCATTCACGAGTTACGTGCCTAAGTAAGTTTGCAGGGCCCTACTATGATGCTTGCTAGGCTGAGCCATCCTTTCAAGGAAAGCTTGGGCAAACATCCCACACTTACAGGGATTTGGSAAATCCAGGTTGAAAATGCTTCTTGCAGCCAGAGGGCAGCAAGAATATGACTACCATGAGCCTACCCTAGACTATTTCCTCCCTTGGCATATTCTGAAGCAGAAATCTGTGGATTTCTCATGCAATACCTCATCTACTTCATCTTGAATCACCAGAAAAATAAATCTTCACCAGAAAAATGGTGAAACATTTGAATGCCATTCACCCTATACATTAAATTCTGCACAGCRGTGCCCAAATATTCCCCTTGGGCTATGGAAACCTTGGGATTTATTTTACTTTCTGCTAACAGAAAACTYAAAAGGTGTAATTTTTTACCCATCAGAACCCATCAGCTCTGGTCCCCAGGCCTGTATTTGCACTTCCACACTGACAGAGAGCCCCTTCCTGCTCTGTCCCATTTCATCTCCTTCCTCTTGAATTTCCTGCATGATAGCTAGAAAATTTTCCTTCTTCAAAGTAGGAAAACAGCGCTATAAATGTCATTAATCAACACACAAAATAATTACCCTAACTTGTCTTTACAGGCACAGATGTTTCTCATTTTTGGGCTGAGGATCTTACAGTAGACCATGGATGAGAATATAGGATCACAAGAATTTATTGTTAGACCTGAGCAAAGTTCATCTAACCCAACACACTGACTGGTAGGGGAATCTGAGGAAAGCATAAGGAACCACAGCAAATGGAATGTGATCTTTGTCCAGATATCCTCAAATGTCTGGGATTCAGTCTTCTGGGTTTGCTAGATAGGGACACAAACAGGCTGGGTTTATGGCTCCCTCTTGTTCATTCCAAGAATAATTCTAGATCAGGCAACTTGTTCACTGTTGAGCTACTCTACACAACATTCTGCATACTTTCAACATTACCAAAATTATATAGCAAATTAATATATTCTGTATAGCACTGAAAGTAACTTTCCTCAATCCATCAGCAGTTTGAAGGCAACTCATTAAATAGGAGTGAGAGCATGCAACCAAGAAACATATTTTGATTGATAGAGCTAGTCCATGGGAACTTCAGAAGAGTTACATTATATTATATTTACTTCTGATGTCATCTGACAGGATGTTACTATATAGTGCATATGTATACACACACACAGACTTATGAAAAGAAAAGGGCTTAGCCCCGGCCAGGAGGTCCAATAAACACCCTGAGCTGTGGAATGTGCCTGGATGTTAACATGAATCCAACCAGGGTCTGAACATCTGACTTCAACTCGCCACAGATTAGAGTCTGCAGTTGCCAGGGGCTGAAACCCGTCCCCTCCACCCAATATCCTCTCCCCCCCCAAAAAAAACATCACATACTCCTGCTTTTTATGAACAAAAAGCATAAGACTTAAATACTTTAAGACTGAATCTTTAAAAAGTTTGCTTATTTATCCAAGTGATTTAGTATTGATTAGGAAAGCAGAAAGAAGAGAAAGAGAATGAACCAAGTGGTTTTACTTAAAATGCTAATCCAGAGGTTTAGATACAGCGTTGAGTATTTTTCTCATTGTTCTTTTTCTTCTTTTCCTGACAGATCTGGATGTTCTCAGCTTTCATGTGGCCATGCCAAAGCTCCCTTTTCATGCCTTGCATACCCAAACTTAAGGCTCCAGTCTATATTTAAAGTTGCTGTGACTATCTCAAGTTCTTCCCAGCCTACTAATCAAGTACCATTTAATCTTTCAAAGCCATTCTTMCTCAGTTAGAGGATATTGTGCTAATTTTTACTCTCAGCATTACCTTTTCTACCAAGTGCATTATATATATATGTGTTAGTATGGGCCATGAGTCACACAGATGTTTACTATTGTTGCCAGCATAATTCCTCATTCTGTCAGAGTTCATTTATTTTTATACTTGTTYTTACAATGTTTTTATTAGGTGTTGGAGTTTGTTTTATTAATTTTAGACTTCAGAGGATACCCCTTTTATTTCTCTACAACRTTTTCCACTGGACAACAGTTGCAATACAGTTTGCCAAACTACAACCCTCTGTGGAAATGCAATAAGACCAGTAAAAGATCATGTGCAAYCCTGAACACAGAGGGGAAAGAAGAAAACTTGAAATGAAAGCACCACAAATGAGAGGTAAGATAAGAAGGATAAAGGAAAGGAAGCCTTAGTTTTAAACTTTTATAGCTGGCTGTTTCAAAAAAAAAATTAAATGTCAGGTCAAAAGTGAAGAAAGAATGAATCTGTTTTATACTAATTCCTTAGTGGTGCAGGAAATTTCTACAGGTGTTGGAGGAAGGACTTTGGTGCAGCAGGAAGAGAAGTGCAGTCTTTTGTACTCAGGTCTTGGTGCTCAGTGATTTTGCATCAAGAATTATCAATGCCCTTGTAGCTATCAACATGTGAACACAAGGCTTCCGCAAAGGGTTTGGCTATCCTGGACACAGAGCAACAAGGGTGGCTGTGGATCTACAATTGCTGGCTGCATCCTGGTAGAGGGACATAAAAGCAAAGACAAGGGTGCTCATCACTGAAAAAAAAAAAAAAAGGGGCAGCTTTGTAAATAACTGTAAAGTCACTTCTGAGTAGGAGTTGGGCCATGAGTTTCCACTGATGTCAGTGAAGTTCTCCCCTTACTCCAGCACAGAGTGAGGCAGGCGTCCATGCACTCACTGCCTGGTTTGATCTCATCCATGGAAACAAGTGAGTCTTCAATAAACTATGTCCTGGCACCATGAAGAAATACAATTTTTACCTCTGTGAACAACCCTATCAGCACTACTGGTATGTGACAAGCTTTCCACTTAACCCATACAGCTGTCGTGTGAGTTCTTGCATCTCTGCAGTCACAAAGCAGCCTGTTACCCCTTCCTGGGAAGGAGGTCTGCCTCTAGTTACCTAGTAGCCACCAGCTGTTGTGCCAACACACCCTGGGCTTCCAGCCAGCAGGGTTTGTGTGGATTCACAGGGCTGTGGGCGATGAGCCTGGCTCTGAAAGCCTCCAGCCCAGCTCTGCTGCCACGTCAAAGCACAGGGGTGCCCTTATCCTGGGTGTGCCGTGTGGTGCCTCTGCCTCTCTGGGAGAAGATGCTTCATATTTAGCAAGGAACAGCAAACCTAGATGCCATGGAGCAGGTGCTGCATTTCAAGAAAG